GTTTATCATTATGATATCATTATTCATTACTAATCCTTACATGTTTTGTTCCGAAAAAATATTTTATTGATAGTATATCATCTATAAATATTTAAATATATAGGTAACCATAATTTTTTAAATATTATGAAGTCAGAAAATTTAATCAGTTGCCCCACCCTTTCAAAAGTTGAAAGACGCTCCTGCTTTTGTTTTTAAACGGAATTGCGTTCGAGGTTTTCTTAACATAATTTGTTAATAACTTTGATAAAATTTGTTTTTATAAGTATAAAAGTTATACGATATAGTATAAACTAATAAAATATTTATTCTTAGTTAAATCATTAAATTTTTTAGTAACTTATGTTTTTTAAGTTTATAAGTTAACTTTTTTTTTGATTGGCAAATTTATATAACATTTTCTTATTACTATTGCTTTGATTATTGTAACAATACAATTGATCAAATAGGTACTACTTTTTACTTTAAATTTACATAGATGGCAGAATAAAATTGTAATCATAGTGGAGCACCAAATAAATATTACTGATTCTTCTTAGAAATACAAGTAAAAAATAAATAAATTACTTTAGAAATTAATAATAATTATAAATAAAATATTTATGTATATAAATTATTAAGAATTTTTTTATCAAAACAAATTTAATTTAAAATTTATGGAATGAAAATTTTCCTTATTAAATTAAGTATAAATATCTTTTAAAAATAAAGTTTATATCTATACATTTATCAATAAGAATAAGTACCTATAAAAAATATTTATTAAAAGTAGACGTTTTACGTCTATTCTTCTCTATTTCAACTAGGGTTATATTAAAAGATTTGTTGGTACCCAGGAAATGTAATGTTCGAATAAAAATAATAAATTTTGCAGGAATTATCGATCAGCCAAACACCAAAGCTAAATATTTAAATTTTGAATTTTCAGTAGCCAGGGATAACGATATATTTGGGTTCTTACTTACCAATCTTTGATACTACGAATAAAAATTTAATTAATTGTTTAGGGATTTCATGAGTACTTCTCGGAATGATACTTGTATTATGTTCCGAATATATTAATGTAATATTGAAAGCTTCTATTCTTTTTCTCGTAAAATAAAACGCTTACCTACTAAAAAAGGTATTTTAAAAATGACCTTTTTAGTATATCTGTTATAACGTTGAGTTTTTATAACTATCATTTTTATTTAAACTCAATATAATATTTATTTTTATTGAGGGTTGCTAATCACCCCGATTTCAGCGGGACATTCACGATTTTTAGGTTCTTATCTGTGTATCGATCAAAGTTTATTTGGAACATATTTTTTTCCCGGGATACTAGGAAATTACCAATTAATCTATTTCTATGATTTTATTAAATAGGATAGTCTAAACTTTTGAAGATAGTTAGACAATTTACACTTTATATTTACAATCTAAACATTACAGTTATTTATAAATATTATCTTACCAAGATATACATAAATAAGTATATTTTAAACCATGTTTGTGCCAGTGGCGTATCTGGGGGGGATAACAGGGGCATTTGCCCCCCCCAAGAAATTTTTTGATGCCATTATGCAAATTAATTATTCAGCTTAAATAATGTAAATTATAAATAATTTTAATTTTCACTGATTATAATCGTGTTTGATATCAAAAGTTTTTGATATCACTTATCAATGTAATATAAAATATCAATATTCCACCGAATTGGGATTAGGAGTGATGATGACATATAGTCACTATTTTGTAATATGGTTATCATTGATATCAAGTGATCAAAATAAGTTTTAATAATTTATAATAAAGTTTCAAATTATATTAGAACCATAAAAAATTGTGCAATTAATTTATGCCCCCCCCCCCCCAAAAAAATGTTTCACACGTACACCACTGGTTTGTGCCTACATCATATATTTACTATACTATAGTATACTATAATTAATTACGTATTGTTATTATTATAGTCCTATTAGGTGCGGCATTGCCACTTAATCAGTTGTGTGGCGCTTATAGTAATGTTATGACATAATAGTTTGTGCTTATTACGTGTAATAATTCATTCTATTATTATCATATTAAATTCATTAATATTTTTTTGTGCATTTCTAAATTACAGTACGTTTTATTTGTGTTTTTATGTATAGATATACAATAATTTAATCAAGTATCTTTATCTAATGAGTGACTTCAAAAAACAAATTACTACTCATACTCCACCAACAAATGTAAAACACCTTAGTACTTTTTGTGAGATGTGGTGAAGTTCATATACTAGGCTTAAAAGGTCATAAAATAATAATTTGTAAGGTCATTGTAAAGTATGTCAGAAAGACATTTTAATATTTCATGATGGTAAATCAGATGTTCAACACTGTGCAAATAGCGTTTCATAAAAACAAATTGAAAGTTCTAGTGAACAATCAAATACAATTAATTCATTCTTGTATCAAAAAATACATTGGAAAGTCATTAGGTAAATTTGGCTGAAGTTCGTAAAATTTTATACTCTTGATTGGGATTTTAAAATGTATCAATAAATATACCTAACGCTTTTTAAAAATAGTTCCTGTATTTATTTCGTGAATTTAGTAAAATATGATACTGCTTTTTTAAATGCCGCGAAGAGCCACAAAAAAAAAAAAAAAAATACAATTAGAAAAATATTTGTTTTAAATATTTAAAATATTTACAAATAAATATATAATATAATTAATACTACCTGTAGTTTTATTAAAAATTCAATTTTAAGTATTACATAACTATTATTATTTTATCATTATGTTTATTAAGTATATAATATATTATACAATTAACGTATATTAAATAGATACATATAGAGGGCAAATACAATTAATACTTATATTTGCTCTCTATACTATAATATATTATAATTATTAAGAATACTATATTATTATATGGTCTACCAGAAATGATTAACTTTATATTATATTGAAACTAGAAGAAAATTGTTTGATGTTGAAAGAGTCCCGATTTTTTAAACTGAATAGTTGGCAACCCTGGTTTTATTTTACAATATGATTGATTCATTTTTAATAATTTGATTTTTCTTTATGGTATAAATTATTTTTTTTATAATTATTATCTTAGGTGTATATATTTTCTTAGGTACATATAATTGGCGTCTTTCCATGACGTTCTATGAAATTGACTTTGTATGTATAAGTTTGAAAATTTATATCCAAGTGTGAAATCGTAAAATTTGTGTGAATATCTCAGGCAAAGAAGAAATAATGTATTGATAGAAATTGGATTTTAATTTTATTCAATTAATCTTCATTTCAACTCTTTAGATCTAGTTTTTTTCGGCGTAAGTGGCGTCCCCATCGTCCAGTATCTGTAACCTTTACCGTAACAGAAACTGCAATAGCCATCCCCCTTGACTGAACGGTGTTGGGGGATCTGGTTGGGGGTTGAGCGAAGGACTAACAATCTTTCCTTATTTAAAAAAATGTTTGTTATGGTACCATCAAAAATCAAGATCTATTGTTTAATATTAAATATTTATGCTCTGATATACATATACAGAAAAACATTCTACTCTAGAATATAAAAATAAAAATTGGATTCCGATTAAAAAAAGTAACATCTTACATACTATAATTGAGATGATAAAATAATAATAATAATAAAAAGTACAAATATTTTATAGATACATATATTATATAGTGGTGAATAAAAAATAAATAAATATTAAAAATCGCATTTTACAAAAATATATTAAAATTGACAGGTGTTGATTCATGCTTATAAATGTTAAACTTGATAATCTTTCTCGATTATTAAATTAGATTTTGTTATTATGTTATAAAAAAGTGTAAAAATACGATATAAGTTATTACCAGGGCCCGGGACTTATAGCACTTAAAATCACTAAAATAAGCATTTAATAAATTTAAAATTAAGCAAAAATATTTATTCGAAAATAAAAGAAATATAAAATTTGAAGTAAAAAATCAAACAAAATAAAAATTAATCTTCACTTTCAAGACTTTAAGGCTTTTATGGATTTTCTAAGGGATTTTTCTGAAATCTTTGTTAGCCCTACAACGATGTCCCGAACAGCGACGAACTACGTGACAACGCAGATAAGATAAGAATTATTTTTATTTTTAATTCTATCAAAAACGACTTTGCAGGAGTAAACTATAAAAGCGTAAATAAAACTGCTCAAATAAGGAAGAATAATCAGAAAAACTGGAAATAAGCATTTTTTTTAAAAACTGCTGAAAAAAACAAAAATAGGCACTTTCAAATTTCATAATTGTACGTATTATAACTTGACATACACTTATACAGCACTCTGCTATATTTTAAGTCAATCCATAAAAATAAGCAAATGCTTTAACCCCCGAGCCTTGGTTATTATTAAAGATAATATTTATACTTTCTTAGTAACATATTTTATAGTTATCCATGATGTGATACAATAATCACATTATATGATGCAAATAGGTCTTTTATATCATTTATATACAATTGTAAATTGTATAAAAAAATTAAAGTCATTAAAATCATTTGTTTTTATTAATAATTATTATTGTATATATACGTTAGGCTATTTTTATAAATTTATTAAAAAAGTTTAAAATGAGTTTTTATTTTTTAGGTAATTTTCGTTTAGTGCGGAAACAGGTTTCAATGCTTTTCGATATTATTGTAATTGTATACAAACGATTCACTAATTTTAAGAGAATATGAGAAATAACAAACTTTAAGAATTTTTAAAATAAATGATATAAAATATTGTTTTAATAAACAACTATTACTTCGTTAAATTATTTGAATATTATCTTACCAAACCAGAATATCCTGTTGTGAATTCCAAAAGTTCTCACGAATAACATGTACAAACCACCATATTCAAACTAAAAAGTTTTATCTAATCAGTATGGTTGAATATGAAAAACCATGATTAGATTTTTCTATTTTAAATTTAGTAGGAAATAAATGCTTACCACAAATGTGTCAAATCTAAACTGTTGTATTCTCAATTTTATATAAAAGAGTCAATCAACTAAGAGTTTGCATCAGTTGAGATATATCTCTCTATACAATTGCTTTTAATAAAAAATTCTTCTTCGACATACACAGATACTGGTAAATATTAAATGTATCATTAAAATAACTAATTTTATTGTATATTAATATAGATACATTGATATTTTTAAAGCTTTCAAAATGTTTTTAATAAAATAAAATATATGATAAAATAATTTTAATTAATAAAACTAATAGAGTAATTATTAATCACGTAAACATATAATCTAATTTTTAAAAAATTTCAAACATACGGGTTATTAAATAATACTATTATATTTAAAACAAATAATAGTTGTCTCATAAGTTAAAATTGATAAAATATAAGAATTTTTTTAAAATTATAATTTAATAAACAAAAAAATTTCGATTTAAACAACTACATATTAAAAAATATATTTTTTAGAACCACTTTTAATTTTAAGATTTATATCAAGTTATATATATATATATATATTAAAGTATATACCAATCTATTACAATCATTATTTTAGATCTCTGTTTTCATTTATTTGATATATTTATATATATATATATATATATATATACTTATAACATTTTTTAATAAAATCGAATGATAAAAAGAAATTAATAATATTGGTTCGCTGACTTATGAATAGTAATAATAGTTATAAGTAATTTGAGTATTTTTGCTTTTATATTTTATAGCAAATGTATTAATAATTTAATTTTTATGTAATTTCAGACATCAAACATCATGACGGATAGAAGCAGCATTTTATATTTATTCGATCGCCCTAAAGAACCATTATTCGTTGCAAAAGGAGAAAATAATGTTTCTTTCGATGTACCATCTGAATACTTGGTAAATTAATGATGTTTTCGTTATATATTAAAAATTAGTGTTGTGATGCGTTCACATAGTTGTATAAACTATGTACGGATGTTCACAGTATTAAAATATAAATACTACATAGAAATAAATAATAAATAAAAAATGTATTTTATTTTATGTACTATAAAAATTAAGTAATACAGCGAAAATAGTAATGAAAACAGTAGGGGTTAAGCCAATATGTTTATTATATTTTTATTTAGATTGATCGATATAAACCACTGGTATCTGACATTCATAATCGCTTTCCTGGGGATAAGAATATTTCTGTCAAGAAGTTAAACAATATTCCAGACCTATCATTACCTTTATCACTTTCCAGAAATGCATCATTTTCGCTTTTTAACCCACTTCATAGTAAAATGGCTTCAATGCTTATAGAAGCCTTTATGGGTAAGTATCCGTTTATTTTTAGCAATATGTTTATTGAAAAATATAATTGCATTCAATTTTTGATGTAAGAAATACTTGAAAAATACGTGAAATAAAGAACGTATATTATAACATTTTTTTTATATGTTCTATAGCCACGAAATCATTTGACGATCTCTTGTCGTTAGCAGTGTACTGCCGCGATCGAGTAAACTCGTACATGTTTGTTTATGCCCTATCTGTAGTTATGTTACATAGGCCTGAAACTCGCAATTTACGATTGCCCTCACACGTTGAGATGTTTCCGAGTTTATACATGGGGCCGAGTGTTTTTTCCCGAGCCAGAGAGGAAGCGGAAGTGGTTCCAGTTGGTTCCAGAGTACGTATTAGTCGTAAAATGATCGACAGAAGTGGCAATAATATCTTTCTACGGGATTTTGTGGGGAAAGAAGGGAGGCTGTAATTTTAAATTTTTTATTTATTAATAGTAAAAATTGTAGCAATATTTGTAACCGCATTAGATAAAACAATAAAAGAATGGCCTACGATGTTTGATGTAATTCAATTTATAATATTTAAATTTTACTTTTTACTTTTGCTATAATTGCTTTTACTTGCAGTTTAAACTATCAAATTATGTTTATTTATTATAACACTTATTTTAAAATTCCTATTAAATAATAAAGGTTTTCAGTCGATTGTCACGGTCCGCTGCTAAGATTCTTATTAAAGCTTTTTTGAAATAAATAATTTCTGTATAATAGGTTCCCATTGAAATACCCCAAGATTTTACTGCTAGTGACCTGGATCCGGAGCATAAACTTAGCTATTTCCGTGAAGATATTGGACTGAATCTTCACCATTGGCACTGGCATTTAGTCTATCCGTTTGAGGGACCATTAAATGTTGTCAATAAAGATAGACGTGGTGAACTATTTTTTTACATGCATCAACAGATTATAGCCAGGTTAATTTATTAAAATATATTAAATTATAATAGAAGACTGTCGCTGTTTGGCTATTAAAATAATTATTTAGTTTCCTTTTATTGTTCATTCGGATGGGATATGATTGATGATTAATATTCAAATATTTTTAAATTTTAATTTAGATACAATATGGAACGATTAAGCAATGGAATGAATAGGGTAGAACGTTTGACTAAATGGAATGACCCAATAGTGGAAGCTTATTTCCCAAAATTAGATAATATTTTGAGTAACGGAGTATGGCCGTCGAGATTCGCCAACTCACGACTTAGTGTAATGTTTGATTTTATCAGTAAACTACATTTTTTTATTTGCTGATATTTGAAGTAATTTGAATTGTTTGTTTTTGGTTCAACAGAACATCAACCGAGAAGCAGATCAAATATCATTTGATATCGAAGATCTAGAGCGATGGAGAGACCGATTATTCAAAGCTATACATTCTGGATTTATTGTTAACGTAATGACTGTACATTTTTAAAAATAAGAATAAAATATGTTATCAGTGTTTTTCGAATGAAGGATATTTAAGTCAAATCAACAATAAAAACGTTAAAGAACATTAAAACATATGATTTGTATGGAATAAATAATAATATAATATTACATTTAATTCTGTATTTATAATAGACCAATGGACAACAAGTGCCGTTAACCGAGCAAGGAGGAATTGACATTTTGGGTAATCTTATTGAATCCTCTATACTGAGCCAAAATCCAAATTTGTATGGTTCTCTACATAATCAAGGTCACAATGCAATTTCATACATTCATGATCCTGACGGTAGATATTTGGTAAATATATAAATTTCATTCGTTATTATATTAACTTGAATTAGACAAATAAAATATAAGAACATTTTAATTACGTTAAGGAAAAATTTGGTGTTATGGGTGACTCAGCGACTGCAATGCGTGATCCTATATTTTACCGTTGGCATGCATATATTGACGACATATTCCAAGAATTTAAATCTACAATACCTAGTTACCCTGTTCAAAATGTAAGAACTTGGTGCATTTTCAAAATATGTTTGTTTTAATGATTAAATTTCTGTTAAAATTTAGTTGACATTCGAAAATGTGAGAGTGCAAAGTGTTGAAGTAACGGCTACTGGAATACCACGTAATGAGTTTTCCACGTTTTGGCAAAAAAGTAACGTTGAACTATCTAGAGGCTTAGATTTTATGCCACGTGGATCAGTATTGGCCAGATTTACTCATTTACAACACGCTCCATTCAATTATAAGATTGTCGTGAGTATATGTAACAAGTACATATATGATTTTTATTTTTTTCATAAAATATTGATTTATTTATTTAATTTTATAATGATATAAAATTTAAATATGTAAAATAAATTACAATAAATAATATATATTGCAAACACAATACAATACATTACATTACATACTCTTTCCACATGTTATATTTTTATTTAGATTGAAAATAATGGAAACCAACGAACTGGAAGGGTTCGCATTTTTATCGCTCCTAAATTTGATGAACGTGGTTCACCAATTATATTCAGAGACCAAAGGAAGTTATTTGTGGAACTTGACAAATTTAGTGTATCATGTAAGTCTATAGTAACGAATAGATTAGTCGCAATATTGTTATCAGAGTTGTTTTTTACAGTTATATTTCAATTATTATGTTTTTTTTAAATAAACTATAAATCGTATTTAATTTAATTAAAATACAGTATAATTTATGTTTGTCTCCATTAATTAAACATAGTTATTAAATCTAATTAATTTTATAGTGAAGAGAGGAAGAAATGAAATAACTCGTTCATCTTTGGAGTCTTCGGTAACCATACCGCATGAAGCAGTTTATCGAAATTTAGATAATAATCGACCTGCTGATAATACAGCTGAAGCAGAAGCATTTAATTTCTGTGGTTGTGGATGGCCTCAAAACTTGTTAATACCCAAAGGATCTGCAGAGGGACTGCAATGTCAATTGTTTGTCATGGTGTCTGACGGCGCGACCGATCAGGTACATATTAGAATTTAATGTCCATTTGGTGTTCATATGATAATGACTTATTCAGACTCATATTTACTGATTCGATATATTACTATTTTCTTGAAAAATTTATTTAAACGTTCATAAATCTGCACTGGATATATTTCTAACAATTACTTTACGTGCTTTACTTCACCCAATAACGATTCCCTGGAGTGTTTCAAAAATCTATTAAGGGACTCGTTGACACCGATCTAATGTTAATATTATAACGATTCGTAACTCTTAAAATTTAGGTGGAGAACGCACAAGGGGCCAATCAAACATGTGACGATGCTTCCAGTTATTGCGGTTTGCGCAACGCTCGTTATCCGGACTCTAGGTCTATGGGCTATCCGTTCGACCGGGTACCTCGTAACGGCGTGGTAACCCTCCAACAATTCTTGACGCCGAACATGATCGTACAGGACGTGCGTATACGTTTTACTAACCGTACCGTATCATCGTTTACAAATAATAGCAGACCATCAGCAGGAACGAGCAATCCTCCAAGAGGTGGTAACAGACCAAGACAATAATATGACGGTCATATGAAACGTATACGTAAATATAGGTATGATAATATGTGATTTGTACTTACACTATTCCATTTTTACAATTTAAAAATAAATATTGATATATTGATTTGTTGTTATCTAGATTGTTAAAATTTTTAATATACCAATGTAATATAATATTTAACATTGTAATTGTAATTTTTTTTTTCTAGACTATGATTCTATCTTGCTCGATTGACCACAACATCAACACGTTCATCATATTTTCTTATTATTCTACATAATTGTGATAATTATTCAAATAAAATATTTTAGTTTCCATTATAATTTATATTACCACAGAAAACATTTTATTTGTTATAATTTTATTTATTTAAAGAAATATAAAAATAAAACTTATTTATTCACTTAAATATTGTATTTTTTAATTTATTATTTATTTATTTTTATTCATTATATAACCTATACGATCTAACACATCTGTACATAAAATAATTGTATTCTTTTGGATATTTAGTCAATGTGAAATATACATAATTGAAGTTTTAAATTGATTCTTGATTGGTTTGATCATCTTATAATGTTTATTTAAAAGATAATGTGTTTTAATAAGGTACTTTTTAGATAAATATTTTAGAGATGGGATAGTTAAGGATTTTCCTTTATTTTTTGTATAATCTTATCGTTTTATATTATCTTTAAACAAATAATAATTTATTGTCTTACTCTGAAAAGCGGTAACTAACTGAGATAATGGTTCCATGTTCATAAATACCATAAATATCATGAATATTACCAATAGATTTGTAATAATATTATAATTATATTTTAACATTAATAGTACCTACCTGCCACAAAAATAAATATTTTATATTTTTGTTTTCTACAAATATGAAATTATAGCACTGCTTTATATTCAGTACTGGTACATTTTTACTGTTCCTTTAATGTTTGCATAAATATATATTTAACTGTATTCATTTGCTTATTTATTTATTTAATATAATTATATACTGTATTTGATATATTTATTATTTTCAGTTGCTTTTAGAATTAGGAATGTACCAATGGGAAAATTATGAACTACCAAAGATTAATGAAACTTACTATTGGTATCTTCAACACTTACATTAGTTGACAACTTCGATTTAATAAACTTTAATAAAATAAATTTTTATAATTTATTATCCGATAATTCAATATATTTCCAAAAATATATAATCATTAAATCATAAATATTATATTTTTGGAAACAAATTTAATAATAATAAAATAAAATAATAATTATAACATAATAATATAATAAAAATAATATAATATATTAAATTACATAATCTATTGTTCATGGGAATGTATTATAATATATTTGTAGAAGTGTAGAAAATAAAATACATACTTTATGTATTATTGGTAGGTACATTATGTAGCTAAATACCACGTAAACTATTTAATAAATACTGGCTGGATAACCCAATTTCAACCGAAAATATTATTTACTATTATACATATATTTTTACTGTATATACGAAATTAGAACTTATAATAAATCAAGTTATGTGCTCTGACTCGACAGCTTAAACAGATATTTCAAATATAAATTTTCAATTTTTTCAATCGAGCATTATGTTCTGTATTTATGTATCTGTTGATCTGAAGGTTTGTTGTCACACACAGTTCATTTCAAGTGATTGTCCTTCTCCCTGAACAATATCATGTCTCCATAAACGTTTCATTGTTCAATACTTGGCTTCATCTTTGATTAATAAAATTACGATTTTATTTATAGATAATATTAAAGTGTTTATTAAAATAATTTAAATATATTTATTAGATTGAAAACTTGACAAAAAGTTTGTCTAAAACTGGGTATTCATCGACTTTTTTAATCGTTTTTTTCTTTTTTTTTCGTTTAAAACATTATTCTATGCAATACATCTGTATGTAGTTATTATAATTCCATTATAATAAATGTCAATTAGCAATTACATTTAGTCTAAACATACAATTTAAACTTAATAAGATTAAAGGTAAATATCCTAAAATTAAAAATACTAAATACGGTATACGATATACATCAGACACAGACAAGTAAAGTGTAAAACTAATGAAGCAGATGAGCAAACGTCACATTTGATTGGCCAGCCATTGGAAGATTGACTATCAATTTGAATAATCAAGAATAAAAAAAGAAGCTTGATTTAACATAGTGAGATGGGACTTACATTTTGTAAATATAAGGACATAGGATTTAGGGTATAGGAAATATATTTTCATTCTTTTAACACTATAGTCAAAACCATTTTTTTTAATTTTTAATTTTTCTTTTAAAAAACGTAAGATCAAAATAAGTTTTTACATGGTAAATATTGTTAACACGTTCATGAGCCTTGTCTATTAGAATGATATCTTACGCCGTGCCAGTGGTTCTTTGTCTCAAATGTACCTGAATTGCCTATATAAGGCGCCGTACTGTAATATTATACTAGAGTATTAACAAATGTTGTGATCCGTACAGTGTGATCTATTGCTTCATGCGCGAAGACAACTAGAGGTAAGGAGAAGTTACAACTATAAAATGTGTGGTTTATTCAAAAGTAATAAATAAACTCCAATAGGATTATAAAATTTCAGTTTGGTAAAATAATGTACTTATTATTTAATTTTTGGTAGGTGGCTTAGCCCCAGATAAATATAATTTATAGAGACGAACTATGATAAATGCATACCAAGCGAAAATTAAGAAAAGATTTTCGAGAAGTGATTCTCAGATAAAACGTACAACCAAAAACAAAAGAGTCGTCTAACCTGATTGAAATTTTCGTATAATGATAAGGTGCTAATAAGATAATAATAGTATAATAGTAGAATAGGTAATAAAGTAATAGTAAAATTTAGTATATGTTGTAAATCAAGCATAATAACCCCATCGGTTTCAGTATTGTACAGAATTGTGAGTAGACACAATAATGTATATGGGAAATAAATATTTATAATTTAAATTATCTAAATATTTCGTGCATTATAGACAGTGCCCAGTCAATTCTTACAGTGGCTAATTTCTCCTCTTGAATCGTAAAATATGTAAGCATGATAAATATTCGGAACTTCATTTAGAACTGCTTAAATTGTCTAGGGGCAAATATGATAATTTGGTCATCTAATAAAACATTAAAAGATACATCTATCTCTACCACAAGAACGTCATAGACTCGTGGCTGTTTTATTACATACCAAATAATAATTCGTCATAGCCCTTGCACCTATGACAAATTCCGAAGATTTGATTTGACACTACGAATGGCGACGTTTGTATTCACAACAACATTCACATTCAACGTTTCTCAAATACGAGTGCAACAAATCATCTTTTCGCGATTGGTCACTCGATCTTAACGAGTAGTAGATAATCAGGTAAGACAATAAAATGAATATGATGACGATTATCGTAAATATGAATCGTCGGTGTGAAAGGAAAATTAAATTTTCTTCATACACATATTCCCCCTTGTCATCGTCGAGAACACTAAAATGATAAGCACAATGGAATTAATATTTACATCATAGTGAAATAATTTATCTATACCTGTTCAAACACAATAAATATATATATAATATACTAACTTAACTTGTTCAATATCATTAGAGAGAAACGGTTCTTCAGACGGATCCTGTGAACCGTCCGAAGGATCACACTTCTCCGTGGAGCAAGTATTACTCATTGTAATACTATTATTGTAGACTTTCGCCTGACTATATCTCGTACTGTAACGTGGCGTGATTTTATCGTTCGTACGTCTGACCTTCGATATGTCGCGAGAAAAACTTCTTTTGCTAGTGACTTCAAGACGGACGATGCCTATTTTTGTGGCTGGGAGCTGCGACGAAGACGACTCGGAAATTTTACTCATCGTAACGGAAGTCTTCGAGATTGGAAATGATGCTTCGGAAACGCCAACTATGTACCGCGTAGAAGATGTTTTTGAGTTCAGAAGTTGCGATAATAACGTCTTAGGAACGCCACTCATCGTGGTACTCGTTACAATTATTTTCAAGGGCTGTAGTTTCGACGACGACATGAGAACACCATTTGTGGTACGCGTAGCAAACATATTTGAGATCAGCTTTGGTGACGATAAGAGGACGTCATTCGTGACAGTTGAAATGTTCGAAAGTAGTTGTTCCGATGACGACTTTGGAATATCACTTGTGGTGCGCGTAGCTGCCATTTTCGAGTCTAAGAGTTGCGACGACTTATTATCACTCGGTAAAGTTGTTTTTGAGACCAGGAGCTGAGGCGTCAAAGATGACTTGGGAACACTACTCGGGGCATTTGTAACAAATTTTTTCGAGGTCGGAGGTCGTACGGATGTCGTCCCGGAGACTCCACTCGAAGCACTCGTAACACCGTTCTTCGACGCTGGGAATCGTGACGATGACTTGAAGACGCTACCTTTGACACTCGTTACAGATGTCTTGGAGGTCAGGAGCTGCGGCAACGAAGATATCTCGGGAATACCGTCACTCGAGGCACGCGTTACCGCAGTGTTTAAGATTAGGAGTCGTGACGAAGGTGACGACTTAGGAATGCCACTTGTGACATGAATAGTAACCGCCGTCATTGGAACCGGCAGTGATGAAAACAGCGGCCGTGATTCGAACACGTCGTGGATCGCATATCTCACTGCACCCGTGTTTGACGTTGCGAACGATGACGCGAACGACGGTCCGGATGACAGAGAATGGCTAAAGGTGCTGAATCCGGCGTGGCCGTGCCGCGTATTATCAGAGTCGACGTGCGACGATCGACGAGAACGTGCACGACTCCGACGGGTGGCCAGACTCGCGTTTTCGTTGACGATGGCACTGCCGTGCTGGCCAATCGCGGTCAATATTGCTCCGGGCGACCGCGGTCCGTCACCGGTCGTACCGGCCGTTTGGCCGGCGATCGGATCGTTCCGGTTAGTCTTTGCTATCGTTCCAGTGGACCATGATGCTACGTAGCGGGTACTCGGGGCCATCATTACGGGTCGGCCTTCATACGCGCACATGAGCACGGCCAAAACGAGTACCGCAAGCGGCTCGTTACGTGCCATCTGGAGTGGCATTCAATGGCCAATGGAATGGGATATTTGAAATGCAGCGTAGGAGGATCACACGTTGAATTGTTATCACAGCGAACCGTTCATGAGTTATTGAATAACACACTGAAGCTGTTACTTTTACCATTCAGTAACCATAGAAACCGAAACCTGTGTAAAAAATGATACGTATTCTACGTACGTTGCGTCAGCCCGGTTCATTTATAATTTTGGCAAACAAATTGATCCAATATTTA